TTTTGAGGGTATGCTGCATGAACACTCAGGGACATTTTCAACATATGGTCAAAAACGAATCTAATTTGTTTCTTATCTTTTTCTCGGGTAGTACGAAGTACGTTGATAAAAATGATCCTGATTCTATTTTTGTTGAACCTTCTGAATTTCTGAAAATAGTCAACGTTACAAAAATGCTAGAACGTTTGTGCTATATGTTTACGTTGTGTGTTTGTACTACTAGTTGTATCATTATTCGATCATTATGTAAAAAAATCGAAATTTTATGGTTCAAAATACTTAAAGAACATTTCGTGTTTTCATAATGATTCAGAATTCGTTCTACGTCTGGTTAATAGTTAAGAAACTTTACGGTCTAAGAACTTATCTCTATCTACACGTGGTGACCTACAGAATTACCCCCGAGAGCCATAACAGCTTAAAACCGTTGTAAACAATTTCTGTTTGTTCAATAGATTTGTATTCATACGATTATTGTATCATCTGTCTTGGATATAGAAAAAGTCTATTTACACATTTTAGTGAATCCGACTAATATTTCTAAGACTGCAATTAATTGGATTGATTTGAATTTGAAAACACGAGTTTTGGTCAAAGAAATTCTGTTGAGATTTTCCAATGGTTTATGTACGAACTTCTCCAAGAGTTCATTATCTACGAATATATCGCTCATTATATTGATGTGTTATTTTTTAAAGGAATGGAAAAGTGCTTTATAGACTTTCATAACTGAAAATACAACTAAGTCGAAACTATTCCAAAAAAAGTAAAGTTACTAGTGAAATCAGTTCTTCCAGGGCATTTGTAGCGTGCTAATAGTTAAATTTTTAACTTAAGTGCTGAACATATATATATATATATATATATATAATGTGTGTGTGAATGCACCAAAGAAACCAAAATTATTTGGTCTGACCGCATTAGCTACCGCTGACATTAATGTATCATTAAGTAATTCGTATACTTGAATTAAATAAAAGGAAAGTCAATAAGTAGTTTGGTTTCCTACTCGCAAAATAAAATATCACTTTTACCACTTGTATCATGAATAAAATTATTTCCTTTTGGAGCTATTATGTTTCTCTTCTAGGTATTCGGCCGTTATCTGACGGGATTCAGATTCTACGTATATGATTTCCATTGCCCAAAACTGCAACTCAATTGAGATGATTTCTTGGATTAACCAATATTTACAAAAGATGTTTGTTAAACGCCGCTCAGTTACAAGAATCTCTTTACGGTTTGCTGTAATAAATGTTACAGGATATTTTTTAGCTACATTCGAACAAAAAATCTTGTCAGAACATAAAACTGTAAACCCAGTTTATTCAAAGTAACCCACGTTGCTCATCCTCTGTTGAATGCACAACTAGCATTTTTACTGATGTCTCACAAATTGCTGAAGCTGTTCTTCAACATGCAATAAACAACGAATGGGAACCTTTGAATTTTTTTCCAAGATGATAACTCCTCCTCAAGTCAACTGGCCGACATATCATGCTAACAAGAGCAATATGTTAGCATGATGTGAACTGCTATCAATATTCTTAGCAATTTAACACTTTAAGAATTTTGAGGAAACTCAAATTGTAATCGTTTTCGCTGATCATATGTTGTTAGTTCTTATGTTCTACCACAAGAAAGACACTATCCGTACGGTTCAATAAAACCAATTAATGTACTACACACCACAATTTACGGCCAACATCCGTCATATTGATGGACGAAACAATATCGTTGTAGATGCATTATCCCAAATAATTTCTTAAACTTCATAGTCGAATGTAGCAGAAGCAACAGCAGCAGCAGATGATGTTAGAACTTCTGGGAATAAAAACAGTTCTTTACTTTTAGAACCTGTAAAATATTCCTAGAACTACAACTAAATTATGTTGTGATATTACAACCACTAAGATTCGCGCGTACCTGAAATTTTGAAACGATTTTTTTATTCATTTCATGAAATCAATCACCCAGATATCAATTCTTCAATACTTTTAGTTGTTTCCCAGACTATTTGACCGAATATGAAAATTGGTTGTCGTCGATGAACGTGGACTTGCCATAAATGTCAAAAGAAAAAGTTATACCGAAATGCACGTCCTCCGATTGGGCCGACAATGGTTTTCTCATAATTACGTGTTCTAAACCTTTGGTTATCAATAGTGCCTCACAATTATGGATCGATAATCACAATGGAATGAGGTTAATCCGATGCAGTCACTGAACGTTTTAGTTATTATAACTAGTGGTGCTAAAACAGCACATACTTTCTTTCCCTTAGTAATGCTCATGTAATACTATTTATACAGCAATTTCTCTCCGAATGAACAAATTTAAGTCCTCATTTTTCGTAAAACTCAACTTTTCTAAAAATTGTTCATGACATTTCAAAATCTGCCTTTATGGAATAAATTTCGTTAAGAGAAAAATCTCTATCTTTAATATTTTATTTGTAGGATGACGCAGAAAAAAATTTGAACTTTTACAATTTTCGAAAAATCAGAATTTAACGAACATGAAACACCAATTTCTTAAACGTCCTTTACACAATCCAAGTATAATCAAAAACGTTAAACGTTAATCAAGTACGCCACTTCCTGGAAATGATGAAACTCTCCTAGAGGCTTCATGTAAAGTAGCCCCAAAATTAAAATTTCGGTTTCAAATTCAAGGGACTGCGACATCAGCCAGATCGATTGCTGAATATAAGTTTTGGAGAAAATCAGTTGAACGGTTTAGTCACTAGCGTTGTTCACAGACGGACAGAGGGACCGCAAAGGGAGGGAGGGACAGACTGACGTTCAAGTTTTTGGTGTAAAGTATCCACAAAACATGGATTCTGGCTACTTCACGTGTAACAGAATTTTGTTTTCTAAATTTAGCAACTGGATTTATCCAACTTTGCGTTATCAGAGACCTATAATAAGGGTTTTTCTGCCGAAATTTCGCCGTATTTTCGTGCAGTAATTTTCTCTCTACTGCGTCAGCGATTGCGAGAAAGTAAAAATATATCAACAAATAATATTCATTATAGAGAATATATGAATATATTATTGATTAGGAGTTTGTTTTTTAATAACAGCAGGTAAATATGCGTAGTTCACCTCCAAAAAGTTTTCTGATTTTGAGAAAGAATATAGTATACATCACAATTTCATGTCTGCTTTTCACCTGTCGCTCAATGGAATTAACGAACGTCAGCATCGAACTTGAGTACTCAATCAAGGCAGGATTGGTTATCTGTGTTACCTGCTATTCATCAGGTTTACAGATTTTATAAGGATGAACATGTTTTTACGAAATATTTTATATACTTAAATTTCCATCCCCATTTGAAGTTAGTAAACGATGTGTAACATTTCTCACCAAACCTGGGACAGATGCAGTATTTTCGAACTCACACCATCATACACTAGACAAAGTTTTCAGAGTTTACTGGTATACATGCTTGTTCACATGTGTTCGTTGGAAATATGACTGGTTTCTAAATGTAATCCAGCTTACGACGGTTCTATTCGCCTTAGTATCCACCAGGAAATAGTCTTTTCTGACTTGACCAATAAAAACAAATGATATTTTGAATATTGGAGAAATTCTGGGAATGCATTTTCCCAGAAAAAAATTGTTCTTCGAGGAAACTAATATATCTCCTGAAATTCGACTAGGAAAGCATAACTTCTTTTATTTTAAACTTATAATTTATTGATATTTTTGTGTCCGAAGAATGCTAGTAATTTGCACAAACAACCATGTGAGCATTAACTGCTTACAACTGTAAAACAATTCCTATTCGTTTTGCTACTTTTCGATCCACAGCTAACGTCGTGGTAATGGTTCAATTTGACATATTTAGAGTCAAAAGATACGGACATTCAAAGTCTACGAGATTCAATGTATTAATAGAATGATTGAGAATGTACAATTCGTAATATGTGTTCGTTACAACTCGTAGGTAGTCATGCATCTTGAATAAGGGAGGCTGTCATAAGGGAAGTATTCTCTACTGGGGCATTGATGACTGGGGGTTAATTTTTATAGGTCTTGGATAAATAAAGAAAATATTAAATATTGTGGTACATGCTAGTTTCCCTATGCGTTTATGAACTATGAAATCATGACATGAAATAACATATTCTACTCCTCCATCAGAGTGTCTCTCGATAAAGAGTTGTTGTAAACGTAAACGTGTTCAAGGCAATTCGAAGAGTTCACTTTTTACCAAAATGACAGATTATCAATGTATTAAAATGAACTCATTATTAGTTACAAAGCAAGTAAGGAATGAAATATCATTGAAAGATCTCCTTTCGGAGACCCTAATGATGATTTTGTGTTAAAAAAGGACACCCTACGGATATTTTTCACTAAATCTTGAAGCGCCACCACGAGCGTTACCATTCCCCTCCCCAGCGTTTCGTGGAATTTAACGAACTCGCCTCAGATCGTTCGCAAATCACGTGACTGTTAAAGTGGTCGCACGACGCAGTCCCTTAGTGACCGGAGAATGTAAACGGAACGCGGCTTTCGCGGCTCGCGGGGAGCTCCGCCGTCGCCGCTTCAGCCGCTCGCGCCGCCGCTCGCCAGCGACTTCCAACGCACACGCCTCTCCTGAAGCAGCTCATCGCACCGCGAAAGCATTAGATCTGATTCTTACTTGGACACGTGTACCATTATGTAGTTTGGTAGTTGCGAATACGCCCCGAGAGTAGAAATAAGAGTTTCATCAGAAACACGCGTTATTTGCTCATTCCGAGGAATAGCTTCAACATGTATCATAATAAAGCTACTAATATGTATCTTCCTCCCCAAAATCTCCATAATAGCAACATATTTTCAGACACTTTCGTCCTCTACTCCGAAATCACGATTCGGCCGCGGTCAGCAACAACATGTAATGAAGACCCTCGCCTCGGAGGACAAATGGAAACATAATTCCAAAACCCCGAGTTCGTAAATCCATAAGCAAAATACTCCGAAAATGAAAAACACAGTTCCAATCAAAATCTGCCGAAATGGAGGCGCGGAGAGTCGGGCGGTAGGGGCACGCGCGTCACGGGACACGCCACAGGACCGGAAGCACGGACCCGCGCGCGCCGCGGCGGCGTGTTGGCGCGAGGAACCGCCGCCGGCGGCGGCGCGGGTGGCGGTAGTTCTCGGTTCCAACCCCTCAGAGACCGCCACCGCCGCCCGCCGCCGCGCCGCCCGGCCGCTCGTCGACCGCCCGCCCCCGCCCCGCCCCCTGCCGCCCCCGCCCCCTGCCCGCCCCACGAACCGTGGTAGCTACACACAGTCAGCGCGTCCGCCGGCCCCGAGCACATCTAGCGCATTCTTCCATTACCTGGGTGTCCGCAGCCCGTCCTCCGTTCCTCCATTCCACGAGCGTCCGCCGCCGCCGCCGCCGCCGCCGCTGGGTGGCACAGGGGCACCCGCAAGTCCCGCGCCTCCGCGGCTCCGCTCCGCACACGATCGCGCACGCCAACACCAGCTCCTGGTTGGTCGCAAGTCTTCTTTTCAAGTTGTTAACGGACGCCTGTGAAAATGGTGCACAACGAAACCACACTGAATGGTTTTCAAAATGTGGAACGCACATTGCCAAGAAAAAGAAATGAAATAAGCACACTTGTATAGCTCTGCAACAAATATTTTAACAAAAACAGTCTTCACTCCATTAACTGAGTACAGTATACAAAGTGTTCAACATTTCTTTATATACCAAGAATATCGAACACGTTCCTATTGCAACGCAAAACGTGAATAGCAAAGAGGTCGAGCAACCTCTCCCTTGGAGCCTTGATGGCGTATGACGTCAGATGAATGGTAGGCAGTGTCGCACTGAGTAAGAGAATTTAGTCAAAAAGTTTCACAATTTTTCCTGAGTTAGTAGGCATCTAACAACGGAGGTGCTCAGAGATTACTTAGTTTTCGGGCCACTAATGTGTATATTCTAAATTAATAATATAGTGGTTAATCAGAACACAATATTTTTCGACAATAAAATGCTTCATACAATGTGCCAATATCAATAAACTGCAAGGTCGTAACTTGCAGCTCCGATGTCTTTAGAAGTTGTGCTGAGGTGCAACTGCGACCTCTTCGATGTGTTAGCAGACGCTAGTGAAGGAAATAAAGTAGATTGTCCTCTCGCATCGTAGTTTTTTAGCTCTAAAATTTTAAATCTGCTCTCTGGAAGATGGAGATTTACGGCAATATATGAATGAAAACATTGTGCTTTTAATTAGTTCGAAAAAAAGCATTTCTCCAAAAATGCTGCTTCAGTAGACCGACATGATAATGTTTTAGCACAGAGATTCACATATATTTTTTCAAAGAATGATAACGTTTGAAAGTATGTATTTGAATTATGTTATTTTGCAAGGCTCACAGTTACTTTACTTGTAAAATCGATCATGCAAGAACGTAATAATAATTGAGTTAAAAGCTTAAAATACCTTTTGATCAATTGTATCAATATATGTTATTAGTGAATAAACTTAACAATATGATGATGATGATGACATTGTTATTATCGAAAACAGAAGTATGTGGCACGAACGAGTTCCTCATTGTTATTTTTCTTCCAATTAGCATAGGAGTTCATTATACAATTGGTACCTAAGAAATGAATCTGGAACTTATGTTCATAAAGTACTTCAGAGTATTATTTAATATTAGTCACCAAACCAAAAAAACCTATTCCAAATCTCACCGCCACATTCATCAAGTAATTTCCAAATTCGGTATTATACCTCTAATAAAATGATCATACAATTCTAATTTGGCTTATAGTGAGTAAACATACTGAATGCTGGGAATGTGGGCTCCCTTTGACGCTGCGACATATGTGAATTCATTTGATATAAGCTATGGCTGTCGCTTTTGTACACTTCGTAACGTTGCCACCGCTTTTGATAAGTTTCTTAGGCAAAATTACAAAAACATACATTCGTTGTGCTAATGCAAATCATCATCATATGTTGATAATATTCATAGGTAGATAAATGGATGTGGGTAAAGTATAAGAGTTTTAATAGATATAAATTAACGAGCTTTTTAGTTTATTAGCCTGATAAGCAACCCGGTCTTTACCGATAAATATTACAACTGTCAACTGCAATTTTGTGCTCGTTTTCCCAACATTATTAATCAATGTGAATGGTCAAAATGACTTCGGAAGTCAATAGATCGAGTAAGAAAGCGGCTTAAGAATAGTGTAATGAATCGAAATGTTGTAGGGTGTACGTTTCGAGATTCAAGGGCCAAAAAATCTAAGAGCCTTCTGTCGTTTTGAAAGTTAAGCCTGTTTTTCTGTGCAACAGATTGAAATGACGTCGTGGCAATATGATGCCTCTTAGCTATTTTCTAAACCAATTCTAAACCGAATTCTAAATTCGTAAATCGAAACGGAAATCTGAATCCGCTGTAGCAGTACCTCGGTATCTATTTGGTGGTATTGTGGGGACAAGCTTGTTCATTGAAACAGGACAAGGAATTCAAAGTCTGAAATACAGAACGTAATATCTAAAAAAAAAAACGCCATTGATAATAAAATATCATGAAATGTAAGGAAATATTAATGTTATTTTAGTGTTCGAAGGAAGCGATTTCGTCGCAAAGTTTGAGAATTTCTATTGAGTAACGAGAACGAGAATTGTCGCAAACTAGCCAAGAATTTGGTTTACTGTATTTTGTTATAATACTCGTATTTATATATTTTTAGTTTATAGAAATATAATTTAATATTGGAAACGACTGTTCTGGCGTCGTTTAATGAGTGTCACTATAACGGAATCATTTTCAGCCTATTTGGATTGTGCGTTTGCAGGGTGGATGTCGCGCAGCGCCCTGCCGGAGGAGCCCTCGCCAGAGAAGGGTGCGTGGACTTGCGGGCGCGGCTGTGCGGCGGCGCGGCGGCGGACACCCGTGGAATGGAGGAAGCGACGGCCACCCGGGTAATGGAAGAACGCGGTAAACGGCCCGGGCGCTCGCTCGCGCTGCCTCCGCCGCCGCCGCCGCCGCTCGGGCGCGAGAGCGGGGCGGGGGCGGGGCGGGGCGTGGGGGCGGGCGGCGCTGGGGTGAGGCCCTCCGCTCGCGTCGATACCTCATTTATAGCAAAATAATAGAATTTATGAGGAGAGCGCGCTTCGTGCGGCGCTCGGCCGCTGCGGGGGCGGCGCGGCGGGGGGGAGCGGGGGGGCGGCCCCCCGAAGTACGCCACGCGCCGCTCGCACTCCCACTCATTTAAGTTTTCTTTAAATTTCGGAATGAATCCCCCGCGCAGCCGCGCCGCCGCGACGCAAAATGGAAACGGAATCCTTTTCATGGGGCTCCTCGCGGCGCCGCGCCGCCCTGTTTGTGTTTTGGACGCAGCGCTCGCGTATTTATGAAGTGACCTTTTGGCGAATGGAAGCTGCGGGGCGGAGCTCCATAGTAAACATCATGCTTTGGGAAAAATGAAAACTTCGTGTTTGGGCATTCCTAGATTCATGTCGGAAAAATACAACTCGTTTACTCGCCTTCATTTTTCTGTTTGATACGTTTCTCGCTGTGTATTTGGGGTTCGGGAAAAATGTCTTTCTTCCTGATGGAGATACATTCGCGATGGCGTTATGCGCTAGCGTTAAATTGCCCCATTCGTGTTAGGAGGACGTGTAAGGTAGGCTGTTCTGTCTCAAGAAGTAAACTCAGTGACTCCGGCAGCATGTGCAACTGGCTGCAGTTAATGATAGCCCTTGATTTTCTTAAGGGAGGGATGAGGATTAGCGTTGAAAACGTCCTCGAAACAGCTGTGTGCGTATCTGCTCGGGTGGAAGTTCAATCGAAATGACGAGATATGTAGGCATCCTGAGGAACGAATAATCTGCGAAACAACTGTTTTCCTTCACGAAATTTCCTGAAAAGTAGGTGAAAAGCAAAAGAATATTAATTGAGACAAATTTTTGAACGTTTGCAGACGATATTCACCATTGGAACCCACACAAATGGTCAATTCTGTACGATCTTTGATCACCATTGACTCACTATAAACATCATGTATTTAATAATCACTAATAATAAAATGTATTTATCCTCATTAAGTAATAAAGTTGTGTGCGGCAATCCGTCCGTCCATCACCCACGATTATACCTCTTTGGGTCCTATTCGAGGTGAAGGAGGTACCGGCAAAGGTAGCTCAGGGCATCAATTGCTGCCATTGCAGTACCACTGACAGGGAGGTTCACAAGTTCGTGTCTCGACGGTGGCAGGATTCTCGGCTCTATCTAGGTCAAATTCAGCCGCTGTTTAGAGTAGAATTCTAGAGGCCGACTGCTCTGATCGGATTTTTCATGGTTTCTCTGATCAACAGCCGGTGGATGCCGGAGAAATACCCTAACAAACGGACCACGGATCGCGCACGACCTTCCCTTCATCTTCCTTTCCATTTCATTCCCCTTGCTTACACACACACACTCACTTGCACTACACTACCACGCATGTGGGTACAGCAGTCGAGAGCTTAGAGCTTCACTCTCCTAGGGCGGTGGCACGCTGGTGAGAGATACCTGGTTGAGGAAAATCCCCGTACGCCGACGTACGCGAGCGCCGCCAGCTGGGGAAGATCACCGCCACCGCCTGCGATAAACATTCACTACACTTACGGGACTAATGAATTAGCCGTTCCCCAGCACGAAGCATCACGTAATCAGTCAAACGAATGAGGTCTCGATCTCCTGGTGAGGAACTGATCATTTTCTTTTGGATACTTCTAATATATTTTAACTAATTAATAAAATGTATTAATTTACATTTATTTAATAATAGGTTTAAATATAAATGTTCAACATTTTTTAGCATCGAAGACGCCATATTTAGCTAGTAATAAGTATTTTGTAATAGGCTCTTTCTATTAAATTATTATACTTTTTAAATAACAATTTTAACCAAATACGTTAAAAAATCAATTTGCATATTTGTGTGCCAGATGAGTGTGCATCACTCCCAAATCAGATGATTTCTATTAGTAAAAAGGTTTTGATTTGAAAGTTTCAGGCTCTTCAAGCCAAATCAATCAGATTATATGCATTTCTGAAATATATTATGTGAAATATTAAGAAGCCAATGTTCTCAAGAACGAAGCGATATGTTGGCAGACATTCAGACCGACAGTCAGGGCAGTTCAGGAGACAGACAGACGCATGAATAGATATTCATCTTCCCAATAACTTTAATAAACCATTTATGACTTAATAACAAGAGCCTGGCCTCAGAATTTTCGCATGTATGAGAGCAAAGATCCGTGTATTTTTTTATTTATATTTTTTTTAATATTTTTTTTATATTTTTTTTTTATATTTTTTCGCATTTTTTTATTTATCTGTTCTGTGGAAGTTACCCGCATGTGTGTAACCATATCATTATTCCATCAATTCACAGATACGCGTTTTTTCTCATTTGCAATACAAACAGAAATTTTCTCTGCGACTACAAAGTATAAATTCATGTACTACTGCAATTGAAGTTATTTTTATTCGATGTTCGTGTTTCTAACTTACAAGTGTAACAATTTCTATTGAGTAACCGTTACGCTATTTGTGTGGCAGGTGAGGGGTCGG